CACACTGTTTCATGACATTGAGTACAATTCTCACAATGTATCATCACTCATCCTATTTCTTCCCTGTGTTTCCTCCGTTCCTCCTCCTTTCCTAACCCTTCTGAACTTTGTCCTGGGGTAGATGCTGCCCTTTCAATCTCAAATGATTAATTGTTCTGAGAACTACTGTTAGGCTGAAAATTGAACCATGAGGGTAAATTCGTTTCTAGCATACATAATCTGGCTGTTCCACCAGTCTCAGTTGGACCAGTAAGCCTTTTTAATGTACAGTGTTTTTTACGTCAGTGCTGTGTTGTATGAGCATGTAAAATGTCATTTTCCACAGAAATTCCCAGTGAATTGAATGGCTCTAAGGCTCACACAGGCACCCCATGATATCAGTATCAATTGATTTGCATTATGAAGTTAAAAACTATCATCATGTAACCTTTAGATAATTTTAAGCACAATAACCATGCTTTTTTAGTTTTTTTTTCTATTTTTTTTCTTTTATTTATTTATTTTTTGTTTTTGTTTTTTAATAAACACTCTTTTAGAAATTCTGTTATCAGAGGGTTAACTCTATTGATTTCTATACTTTTTGGGGTTAGGACAGAACATCAGGGTCAGGAAAAATTCATGTATTAAAAAAGGCATTTCTCCTACATTGCCAAAAACCAGAACAGCCAGAAAAGCAGGGCTGCATCCTGACTCTGGCCCTTTTTCCATCTGCTTCAGCATATGTTTTAAGACTTGTGCCATATTACCTCAGTCATGAGCTATTTTTTTTTCCAAAGGAAACTGAAATAGATTGGAAAGTTGGGCTTGTTTGTGTGTTTTTTTTTTCTTTTCTAAAGTGGAGTCTCAGGGACTTTCAGTGCACACTGTGTAAATAAAAGATTGTAAACCGGAACCAGCTGCTCTATCAGAAAAACAGAGGAACACCTGGTTTTCTTCCTGTTGTTACTGATGATTCAGTAAATGGACAGTGGTCTCCAAACTGCTCAACACTGGAGTCCCCTCAAGATTGTTTAAAACACTGATGGGTTTCTATCTAACCTCACGACATTCTGAACATTGTTTTGTTTTTCTTTGCTTTGTTTTTTTGAAAAAGACTCCCTGGGCCGTGCAAATGAATAGCCACTGGACTGCTAACCAAAAGGTTGGAAGTTCAAACCCACTCAAAGATGCCACAGAAGGCAGGTGTTGTGATCTCTGTCCTATAGGTCTCAACCTTGAAAACCCTATTGGGCACAGTTCAACTCTGCAGTACATGGGTCTCTATGAATCACAATCTACCTGATGGCAATTGGCTGAAGTGATTTGATTGTGCAGCAAAGCTGGAGAACAACTGTACTTTTGGCCATTTTGGTAACCTCAACCTGCAAAAAAAGACACTAAATCCCTCTACTCTAAAAATTTAATTTACCAGCTCCCCTCATTAGAGCTCCCCTATTCATTCTGGTTCAAGATTAGGCTCTGACGATTCCTTACACTTGAGCATGTCACATAACTTTCTGAGCCTAGATTTCCTTATAGTAAAATGGGAATTATGATTATTTCATAGAACTCTGTAAAGATTAAATGATATAGATATGGTATATGGTGCTGTATGATAAAACACTGGACTGCTAACCACATGGTTGATGGTTCAAACCCATCAACCACTTCTTGGAAACCCTATACAGAGTTGCTTTGAGTTGAAATTGACTCAATGGCACTTAACAACAACAACGTATTGGTGGTTGTTTTAACTCGACCATATTTAAATTAAAAATCTATAACAGTTCAGGTCTTTCAAATAAATCATGCATTTTTTTAAAACTCAGGTATTTATGCTATGTACTTTTTTTTTTTTAATATTGTACTTTTAAAATCAAGATCACTAAGCAATCTTCTGACTCCTAGCTGGTTTTCCTATAGCAAACCTTCATTCAACAAATATTTATTGAGAACTCACTATGTGCCAGACTTGTTCTAAGCACGGAGGTACATCAGTATACAAAAGACATTTCTAGTAGAGGAAAACAAACAGTAGACTCCATAAATAAGCAATCTATATGATATGGTAAAAAATGATAAATGCTATGAGTAAATATAAAGAAGAAAATGGGCATGAGGTTGATGAGGGGGCAACTGATTTTAAAATCAAGGGAATGCCCTAATCATATATGAGAGGGTTTCAAAAGTTCATGGAAAAATGGAATTAAAAGGTAATGGATTTTTTCCATGAACTCTTTGAAGCTCCCTCGCATGTTATTATCCATAAAAAGACAGTGAGTCCTTAAATGATTTCAGTCTGTTTTTCTTTAAGGTCGATGATGCCAATATAGTAAATCAATTTTATTCTTGAAATTCAACACCATTTTTAATAGGCAGTTGGTTCCTGAGCAAAAAAACAGCCTAAATAGATAATGCTGAGATTTCTATTTCCGACTGTCTTGGGTTGGGTTCCCCTAGAAGCTGACCCTATGAAAGAATTTGACATCACAGTTTAATTTGGAGGCGATCCCAGGAAGCACCAGTAGGGGACCAGGGATATGAGGCTGGAAAGGGAAAGACACCACTGTAAGGTGTGAATGGGAAGGTGTCAGCTCTGGGTCACTGGGACTCAGTTCCCTTGAGGACCTCTGGGAAACACTGTAGAACCGAACCGAGGAGCAGCGAAGCTGTTTTGTTTATGCACCAATTTCACTGTGATTGATTTATAAGCTGCTCCATTCACTTATTTAGAAAGGTAGAGATGTATCTGCTACACTTTTATATAGAAACGTCTTTTTTTTTTCTTCTTACTCTCCTACTTCAAAATTTTTTCAGACAATACTTATACAGAGATTAAGCTGTGGTTTTCCGTTTCTCAAACTCTCTACATTGTGATATATCATAAATAAGATTGTGGAAAGAACGCTTACAATTATTTAAAGCATAAGACTATATTTAAACATTCTCATAAGTTTCAGAAGCCCTAATTGCCTACTGTACAAATGATAAACCATCATTATCTATTAATTATTGCAAGGCCCAGGAGGATGAATAATTTGATTTAATCTCTCAAAATCATGAAGCTGCATTCTTTAGAAATAGTCTACATTAAGATTTCTTTCTGTGTTCAAAATGACTTCTCTAACTGAATTAATTTGAAATAAAGAACACTGTTATGTTACCAAATCTGTTTGACCTTTTTAGCAATGAGCAACAGCTAATGAAAATCTTTATATTGCTTGCATGTAATGTTTTAAAACCTCAGCCAGGAGGACATTGGTCTTTCACGTGCTCTGATATTCTCAAAAGCAAAGCATTGAAGGCAAGGCTGTTTTCTATATAGATGATTAAGAGGAATCAGGGTTGAAAATTATGTGTCTCTTCTCTTGCCTACTTACTCCTTTTTGCATGGGGCTTTTCTGTGCTGCTTTGAGGTCCAGATAACATGAAGCCTCAGTAGTGAGTCAGGGGTAGGTTTATAGGAGCAGGGAAAAAGTACTCATGAAGTTATTTACATAAAGACAGTGGCGGAAATTGGAACACCCTGACAAATTTTAAGGCAGTGAGATGTTGTATGTGGATTGTATTAAGATGTACCCAGGGTCAAGGCTGGCTCTATTACTTATTAGCCATGTGATGTTGGCCATATTACTTTCTCTCTGCCTGTTTCTACATCTGTAAAATAATAGGACTTCCTCCAAAGGCTATTGTAGAAAGTAAACAAGATAATGAATTTTGGAGCACAAAGCAATTGTGTCTGGCACGGTATAAGTACACAGTATAGGGAACTCAGCCAAGAGGTCTGTACGGTAGACTAGAAGTCCTGCCGCCATCCAGTCGATTCTGACAGTGACTTGATGAGATGTAAAACTGCCCCTTATGGTTTCTGAAGTCTGTACATCTTTACAGAAGCAGACTGCCATGTCTTTCAGCCATGGAGCAGCTGATGTTTGAACTGCCAACCTTTCTGTTAATAGCTGCTTTAACCACCACACCACCAGGGCAGAGGTAACAATGGTAAAAGGAGGTTCAGAGTTGGGTAGTCACCACACTAAGCTCTGAAAGACTGGTCTCTTGGTGTAGACACTCTGAACAATAAGGACTTCACCTGTCTTTGAGATTGAACAAGATTCCATCAGTCTTGATGCTTGAAGACAAGGTATAATCTTTGAGACAATGCATGTGGTAGAAAGTAGGCAGAGTTCAAGTTTTGCCTCTGTTTCCTATGCGGTCTTAGCCAGACATCTTCTCTGAGCCTTGCCTCCTCATATCTAAGTTGATGTTGATAATGCCCACCTTGCAGACAGCAATGTATATAAAGGGCATCAGAGAGTAGAAATTCCAATGATGGTTTTAATTCTCTTGTCACACTTGAGGCCTGTTCAGGTGTTTACATCCATGTTATTAGAACCAGTGCACTGGTTACCCACCAACTCCCAGAATTAGGCAGAAGACTTGTATAGTTAGTTACAATTTGCTCTGTAAACTTTCACCCAAATCACACACAAAAATTTTTAATAAAAATGTCTCATTTGATTATACTATATTTAATATATATATATTGTTATTAAATCCTGTCCCATCATTTCCAACTCATAGCAACTCTGAATAGGGTTAATGAGGAACAGCTGGTGAGTTTGAACCACTCTCCTTGTCATTAGCAATTCAATACTTATCTTACAATGCCACACCAGGATTCCAAAATATATATTGCACATATACAAACACATACATTACATACATATATGTAATATATATATGTGGAGCCCTGGTAGATCTGTAGGATAAGCACTTGACTGCTAACCACAAAATTGTCAGTTAAAGCCCACTAGCCACTCTGTGGAAGAAAGAGGAGGCTTTCTACTCCTGTAAAGATTTACAGCCTCGGAAACTCTATATGGTCGCTATGAGTCAGAATCCTCTTGATAGCAATGTGTTTGAGATTTATCTATCTATCTGTCTATCTATCATCATCTTTAAAAAGAGACACAGTACTTTATTTGATACAGGTTTAATATGGATTTTCTTACCTTTTCCAGGGAAATCAGAAGCCTATTTGGAAGCTATCAGAAAAAATATTGAATGGCTGAAGAAACATGACAAAAAGGGAAATAAAGAAGGTAGGGATTTATAGTGGTTGTACATTGCAAATGTCATCCTTTGTAAGGAGCTCTTTCAATATAAAGATTTTCACATTCAAATAAGTGGGCTCAAGTCTCCCCTCAGAGTCCAAAATGACTCCAGTTGCTTTTCAGATGCAGGTAAGAACAGAATCTCCATTTATCTTAGTTTCCAAATCAGTCTCTTTCAAGCAAAGCCATTTATGTTTATATTTTATTATGAAAAATGTCAAAAGTAGAGAGAATAGTATAATGAATTCCTATATATCCATTACCCATCTTCAATAATTGTTAGCGTTTTGTCAAATCTCATTTTATCTACCAGTTGCTGTTGCGTCAACTCCAACTCATAGCAAACCCATGTATGCCAGAGAACTGTGCTTTATAAGGTTTACAATGGCTACTTTTTGGAAGTGGATTGCCATACCTTTCTTCCAAGTCACTACTGGGTAGACTTGAACCTCCAACCTTTCCAACTCATAGCCACCCTGTATAGCACATTTAAAAAAAATGTTTTATTGTGAATTATGTGCTAGTTTACAAGGGAGAACATTAGTTTTACATTCATCCTATCATATATCATTTCATTGCCATGGTTACAATCCCCTCCATGCATCATCAACCAACCAAAGGGTATACGCCACAAACCTGCCCCCCGGTCATCAGCACATAGCCCCGCTCCCTCTCTAGGTCCAGAGTTCCCAACTGCTCCATCTCTCCACCGTCTCTGCCTCCATCTCTAGCTTCACTGTTTCTCTGGGTAGGGTCCCGCTCTCTGCTCTTCTCCCTTGATGGTCTCAGGGACCTCTGCTCCTGGACTGCAAAGTCAACCACTTCCCTCCTTTTGCTACAAAATGTTTACCTTTATATTTCCAGCCCTCACAGTCAGTCCTGATAACAATTACTCGCTATTGTACCACAAGAGACCTATCCCCATCTTCTTTAGTCAGCCCTGCCGAAACAGATTGGATACTACTCAGTGGATTTACTACTCTGTGCCCTCTAGATCTAGGTTCCCTCTTGAAAGCTTGTAAGCCAGTCACTTCTTGCCTTTGTAGCCACCCCCATTTTGGGTAGCCAATGTCCAAGTTGCCCATCCCTATCTACTCTGTGTATGGAGGGAGTGTAAAGATTTGTTCCCTCTTTTGAGCTACTGCATCCATAGGTGTAGGTCAAGTTCATCAAATTGTATCAGATTACTCTTTTTTTCCTCTTCTTTCTTCTTCTAGTTGAGCTGTGATCATCCAGTCATTGAATCCAGGTCAAGTGGGTATTATCTGCAAGTGTGGGTGTTCTTATGCATATGCCCTCTCTTCTTATCAGCTGGACACTTCACTCTCCACTCTAGTCCTCTGTGGCTATGTCACTGACTCTGGGCCCAAGAGTACCCAGGTCTTGCCACAATGCTGGCCAAGTAGGTCTCCACTCAGGTTCACAGGAGTCTATTGAATATTCTAGGGCTTAGCTAGTAGCTTCATTGCTGTTTTTCCCTCACTTCCCCTTATCGGTGATGAACGAACGTGGCCACCAATCAGAGCACATATCTGCTTGTGTATTCCCATTGAGTCTTACCTTAGTCTTGGAAGGGAGTTTGCCCTGAGGGGACCCGACCACTTGCTTTGATGTCTCCTGGGCAAGCAACTTGCTTGTTCTTGTAGTAATCAGTCAGTCTGCCTATATTGTTTTGTATTTTTCCTGTCGCTCTTTCTTTCAAGAAGTATCTTCTGTTCTTCTAGCTGCTCCAGGCTGGTCTGTTTGTCCTTTCAAGTGGAAATTTCCCACCTCAGAAGATTCAAGATAGGGTTCAGGATTCCACCTATGGTCTTATGTAATGCAGAAGCCTCCTACACTGGGCACATTGTAGCCCCATTTTAGGTATCCCATTCAGTTATAGGCAGAAGACAGACTTACAGGCTTTCTATGGTGATATTTCTGGCTATTCCTTTCTCTCCCCCTCAAGTGTCTATTTTATAATGGTATGACAGGGAAACCAAGATTCAAAAGACAGCCAAGCATCTTAACACTATTTTCCCCACTTTTGCCCATTCCAGTCATGTCTCAATCCTTGTATCCCAGAGCCCTGTTGTTCCAAGGTTGTGCATACATCATTATTTACCTCTGTCCCACTTAGCCCATGCAAAATTGCCTAATTGTTTTCCCATCCACCTTGTTCTTCCATTCTCCTCCCCCTTCTTATGTATTACTCCCCTCCCTAGCACCCAAATTATCTGTGTATATTCCCTACCCTGTGCTCCATCTTCCCCTCCCTCCTCTCTCCCCACCTCCCACATCCCAGTAACCAGCAAAGAATCCCCGCCCCCTCCTTTAGTATGGGTTCTTTTTCTTAGTCTTTGACAGTAGTGGTCCTATGCACTATTTCTCCTTTTGTGACTAATTTCACTCAACATAATGTCCTCAGGGTTCATCCATGTTATGTGATAGCTTACAGCTTCCTTGTTGTTCTTCAAGATAGCATAATATTCCATTGTGTGTATGTACCATAGGTTATTTATCCATTCTTCAGTTGATGGGCACTTAGGCTGTCTCCATCTTTTTGCTATTGTAAATAGTGCTGCTATGAACATTGGTGTGCATGTATCTACTCGTGTTATGACTCGTATTTCTTGTGTGTAAAAACCAAGTAGAGGAATTGCTGGATCATAAGGTATTTCTATATCCAAACTTCTGAGGAAGCGCCATATTGCTTTCCAGAGAGATTGAACCATTTTGCAATCCCACCAGCAGTGCAGGAGTGTCTCAGTCTCTCCACATCCCCACCAGCATTTATTGTCCTCTACATTTTTTATCTTTGCTGTTATTGTTGGTTTGAGATGATATCTCATTATTGTTTTGATATGCATCTTTCTAGTGGCTGGTGATCGTGAACATTTCTTCAAATGTTTGTTGGTTGCCCAGATCTCCTCCTTGGTGAAGTGTCTGCTCATGTCCTGTGCCCATTTTTTAATTGGATTGTCTTTTTTTGTAGAGGTGTTGTAGTTTCCTATATATTTTAGAAATGAGTCTTATCTGATGTGTCATTGCAAAAGATTTTTTCCCATTCTGTGGATTCCCTTTTTACTCTTCTGGTGAAGTCTTTTGATGCACATAAGTTTTTAATTTTTAGTATGTCCCAATCATCTATTGTGTCTACTTTTGTTTATGTAGTTTTCAAAATGTTTGGTAGTCTGTGAATTAGTGCCCTCACATTTGTCCCTATTTTTTCATTGATGGCCTTCATAATTTGGGGATTCACATTTAGGTCTTTAATCCATGCTGAGTTGGTTTTTGTATAAGGCATGAGATAAAGGTCTTGTTTCAGTCTTTTGCATATCGCTTTCCATTTCTGCCGGCACCATCTGTTGAAGAGACTATCCCCTCCCCATGTGATATATTTAGGTACTTTGTCAAAAATTAGTTGGCTGTATGTGGATGGGTTAATTTCTGGATTCTCGATTCTGTTTCATTGGTCAGTGTATCTTTCATTGTACCAGTACCAAGCTGTTTTGACCACTGTAGCCATGTAATAAATTTTGAAGTCAGGGAGTGAGAGGTTTCCAATCTTATTCTTCTTCTTAAGCAGTGCTTTGCTTATCCTGGGTCTCTTTCCTTCCATACCTGTATAGCACTTTTAACAACAGCACTTTTAATGATAGCAAGGGAGAAAAAAATGTGGCCAATTAAATTATGACATGCCATCAAAAGCCTCAAAGACTTTAAAATACAAAAATTTTTACATGTTCATCTTAGAATCAATGTAAATATAGAATGGACCAAAACGCATCCCAAAACTAATGCAAATTGTACCATCCACCAATCTTGAATGACTTATGTTATTGCTATCATTGATTAACATATGAACTCAATTCTTGGTCAGAACCAGCAACACCCTGAAATTCAGTCTTCTAGTTCCAGAAACGGTCAAGCTAGTGAAGCATGAAACTCTGATGCTTGCAATTTGAAGGCTTTTGCAAGCAGTCTTCAGAATGAGGGTGCTGGGTTTGATGCTCCCTTCTGCCTTGAGGAAGTGAGGGCATTAAGAGTACACAGCTTGCCCTCCTGAAGGCAGAAACCTAGCTTGTCTCCACAGCCCTCATTGGTTCTCTGCTTGACCTGGGTCATCTCTGAAAGCCTGTAGGGCTTTGTGCTATGTGAGCACAAAGACTTTCATAACCTCTGCTGGTCACTTTAACAGGGGCCTAGGAAACCTGCATTTCTTCCCCACACCCAGGAAAGTGAGTTCCCTGTGATGTTGTAGTATGAGGGTGATAAAATCATATGCAACCATAAAACAACAAATGTATTTGCTGTTTAAGAAGTGTATCACAAGCTTTATCTCTTTGGAACCTCACAATCTCGAAACTACTTGGAGGTTAAGTTACGTGACTTGTGCCTCTTCTAACAGGCAGCTCGGGCAGCACTGAGATTAGAATCAGAGGCCCTTGTCCTCTGCGCCTTGCTGATTTTGATTTTCCCATTGGACACAGTGATAGCTCCATCAGTTAACGTTAAACTGACATTTCAGATAGAATTTTTCCATTTCACAAGAAAGCATAATATTTTCCTGTCTGCCCATTCAGATCACCTGGACCTTCACATATGTCCTTGGGAATCTGTTCTTTGTTCCAGTAAAGGTGTTGACATGGTAGCCAATTCTAAAGAGCCAGTGATGAGCAAGAGGTGTCTCTCTGGACCCTCTGAGCCAGTCAGGGGTCATCTTGTGATGTGCACACAAAATGTATACTCCCTGGGTTCTCTACTTTGTGCCTGAGGGAAGGGAATAGTGCAAAAAGAAACAAGCACTTACTGAATGTTTGTGGTGTCCCATTGGTCAATGATTTACACTCACCACACATCAAGGCAATAGAGTGGTCAAAACAATGACTACAGATAGACTTGGGTTCAAATCCTAACTCTGCCGCTTCCGGAGTGAGTTATTACTCCCATTCTCATGGGGTATCAACAGGACTAACTATGTTCACTGCAAACTGCTCAGTGACTGGAAGTGCTCACTTTAGCCTCATGGCCATATACTGACAGGGAACAAATGACCTCCTTGGTGAAGAGGAAACCAGCTCTCAGCCTCACCTAGGCTTGGTATGATGGTAAACGCATGCTTGTAGAGAGGCCTTCCATGCTCATTTGTCCCTTCAGGCGGGAGTTTAAAGAGGCCCGAGTGACCCTGGTTCAGAGATTACATTCAGAGCAGCTAAAGGTGGCCAAGGAGCTCTGGTAGCATAGTGGTTACGAGTCGGGCTGCCAACCTCAAGGTTAGAAGTTCGAAACTAGCAGCAGTTCCACATGAGAAAGATGAGGCTCAGAAACCCTGTGCAGGGTACTATGAGTCAGAACCGACTCCACCGGTACTTAACAACAACAAAGGTGGCCTGGGAGCAGCTGGCACTCCTGTGGCCAGTCTCTCCTTTCTCTTCCCTTTACCAAGCTGACAGAAGACAGGGCTCTGGTCTGGGTGCTGAGACAATCTGTCCTCAAGGAACTCAGGTTCAGGTAGCTCACAGTCTGGAATGGGCAATTCTCACCAAGTGCTTTAACAATGTGGAAAACCAGAATGTCCAGCCATGGGGGATTTGTGTCACAAATGTTGATACCTCTGTAAACTGTCAACTAAACAGTCAAACCTATTGCTGTTAAGTAGAATCTCATAGTCACCTGATAGGACAGAGTAGAACTTCCCAGAGTTTCTAAGTCTGTAAATCTTTATGCAGAAGCAACTGGTGGGTACAAAGAGCTGACCTTTTGGTTAACGGCTGACCTTCTGGTTAGCAGCCGAGTACTTTAACCACTGTCACGAGTTCCTTCGATGCCTCTATTGTTGTTAAGTGCTCTCTAGTTTGTTCTGACATGTAGTGACCCTGTATAAGGTTTCCAGGGAGAAGCTGGTGGGTTTGAACCGCTAACCTCATGGTCAGTGAGCCAGTGCCTATTCTTTATAGCGCCACACCAGGGCTCTGTTGTTGTTAAAGGAGCTCTGGTAGCATAGTGGTTACGAATTGGGCTGCTAATCTCAGCAATTCGAAACTATCAGCTATTCCACGGGAGAAAGATGAGGCTTTCTGCTCCCGTAAAGATTCACAGCCTTGGAAACCCTGTATAGGGTCTCTATGTGTTGGAACTGACTCCATGGCACATAACCACCATACACCACATGTTAAGTGCCATCAAGTCAGATCCAACCCATAGCAACCCTGTATAGGATTTTCAAGGAGTGGCTTGTGAGTTTGAACCACCACCTTGCAGCCAAACCTACTTTGCAGTCCAGCACATTAACCCACAGTGCCACACCAGGACTCCTTTAATACTGGTATAGGGTGTATTATTTGTAATCATTAAAAATGGTGTTTCTGAGGAGTATTAATGCTTACTGTGTAAAATTAAGTGCAAAGAGTTCTAGGTTGTAAGTATACTGATTTCAATTCTGGATTGAGACAGATATAATTAAAAAGCAATAAAATGAGGCAGTATTAACTATGGTTGTTGTTGTTAAGTGCCATCGAGTCGGTTCTGACCCATAGCGACCCTGTATAGGGTTTCTGAGGAGCAGCTGGTGAGCTTGAACCGCCAGTTCAAATGTCTTTGCAGTCTGGCGCATTAACCCACAGCTCCACACCATGACTCTATGATTAATTCCGGTGATTTTATTTTCATGTTTTTGTATTTCCCATTAATCAAAACAAAACCAATAAGCACATAATTAATGAATCAAGGAAGGATATGAGTTTAAATCTTCAGAAAGATGCCACAGGCAGCCTCCTTGAAGATGTCTGGGTTTGGTCGGTGGTTTGATCGTTTCAATAGACTATTTTATTTGCCCCATGAATACAATGCAGGTATCCTAAGATAGTCAAAATAATTAACTTGAATTAAAAAGTGGGTTGTCACATCAACAAGAACTTAACAACTTGTGTGTCAATGACAGGAAATCAGATTACCTGGTTCTAGTCATAATTTTCACTGTGTGAGCTTGTACAGGCACTTAACCTTTAGGATCCTGTTACTATATGGGTGGCTCCTGATCCAGCAGCAGCGGCATCCCCTGAGACTATTAAACACGCAGCAGCAGCAGCAGTATCTGGGCTGTACCCCAGACCTACACAATCTGAATCTGCAGATTCCAAGAGCTCCAGGTAATTGGCATAAGCATTGTGGTGGTGGTGGTTATGTGCCGTGGAGTCGATTCCAACTCATAGAGACGCTGTACAGGGTTTCTGAGGCTATAAATCTTTACGGGAACAGAAAGCCTCATCTTTCACCCATGGAACAGCTGGTAGTTTTGAACTGCTGACCGTGAGAGTAGCAGTCCAATTCGTAACCACTATGCTACCAGAGCATTAAAGCTTGTGAAGTTGTGATCTATAAACCGCTTTCCTTGATCAAATGAGAATGGCATTCCCCACCTGAGTACCTCCTGGGGCTCTGATGAAGAGCAGCTGAAATAATACAGTTAAATAATACAGTTTCCTTAAACATAATAAACTGCAAGTGGGGCTTCAACACCGTTCATTCTGTTTGAACCCCTGATGAGAATTTGCCTTTCCACCACAGATACACTGAATCAAAATCTACAGTTTAACAAGATCCCCCAAGTGATTCTTACTGGTCTCCAGGTGGTTTTCATGTATATGTAAGAAGTCCACTGGATATGCGAATACGTAAGGAGCCTGGTAGTGTATTGGATTATGAGCTGGGCTGCTAAGTGAGGACGCACAACCACCACCACACCATACAAGTACATAAGCATCGCCGGGAGATCTTGTTAAACTGGAGATTCGGATTCAGTGTATCTGGGGTGGCAAGGCACAAGTCTCAGCCAGGGGGTCAAACAGGAATGAACAGATTCAAAGCCTTGATTTAAAAGCACTACACCGAGGCTGGAAAATGTCTTCCTACATGAAAGACACAGAATAGTAACCGTGTTACTGTACCAAATGCTTCTCATTTAATAGTAACCACTCTAATGGGATTGGATGTCATCTTTGCTCATGATGCTCTCCGTATTACTTTCCAGATTATGACCTTTCAAAGATGAAGGACTTTATCACCCAGCAAGCTGATGCTTATGTGGAGAAAGGCATCCTTGGTAAAGACGAAGCTGATGCCATCAAGCGCATCTACAGTAGCCTGTAAAAATGGCAGAGGAACCAGGCATCTTTTGACTGTTTCAGAAAACATAATATAGCTTTTTAAAACATCTCTACTTCTGTGATTAAAGTGATCTTGACCTAAGGATTATTAGAAAGTACTAAATTTATAGTAATAAACCTTTTAGAAGTGGTTGAAATATAACTTTCTTGCCATAAACACTATCTGAAAAGTAAAGTTGCATATAAGCTGAGATTTTGTATCTAGAATCCTTATTTCCTCAAAGACTTAACATTTTATAATCGCAGATGTGTTCCTTAAGGAAAGTTCTAATGGTCTAAATGTAAAACTAAGCCCTCTTCACTCTGTCTCATAGACGTAAGCACTCCCTGCAGAATTAGGGGGCTTTCTAGTTTTCTGCACTTTGTAAAGTAGAAGATGTCTGTTAGGAAATGCCGTTTCCACTAGCAGTTCACTTTGGGGAGTTGAGTTGACATTTCCTCAAAGCCTCTACAGCGTAAAGTAAAGCCATATGCTTTTCCAGCTACTCTGTTTAGCTGGCTTTTTTAACAGCTTCAATGGGTACCAAAACACAAACGGGAGAAAATAGGGTTCACTGATAAATTGACAGTTTCCTCTCCACACTTAATTTTTCCTATTAGTGAGTTTTCAGACATTGAGTTTGTTTATAAAAAGGGATACTGATGTACTTTCCAAGAAGATGAATGAAGTCATAAACACTATCAAGCAAAGTAAAAACATATGAAAACCCTACTTAGCTAAATTGGATCTGATCCAGGGATTAAAAAATAAACTGTTTCTTAACAGAGAGCAAAGAGGACAGGCAATTGGAGAGACACGGAAGTAAAAGTCACTCCCCTGTGAACTAAGATGAGCTTCCCTGGAGGAAAAGGTTAATGAGCTTTTGGGTCATATCAACCTCTCTTCCTCAACCAAGACCACCATCTGTCCTAGAAACCACGATAAAGTGGCCTGAGGTCCTCCTGAAAGGTACCCAAACTCAAAACAATGTTTTAAAAATGTTCAATGTAAATTCATTACATCTTTCAGTTTAAATCCTAAAAATAACAATGCTTTATATACCTGCTGCCACTACTTCAAATGGCCTTCCAATATCTACATTACTGTCTTGAATACATCTAGCTGGTATTTGCCTTTTGGTGAGGGCTGGGAACTCAAGTGAGGGGCAGAAGGCTGTTTTTCCAGAGTAGAAAACCATTGCTGCTCCTCCCTGTCTTCTAGGTGGTAGTGGTGGTGGTGGTGTGCTGTGGAGTTGGTTCTGACTCATAGCAAGCCTATACAGGGTTTCCAAAAGTGGCTGATGGGTTTGAATTGACAATCGTGTGGTTTACCGTCCAATAAACATCCTAAAACGCCATACCAGGACTCCCATCTTCCTTGAGTTGCAAAACTAAACAAAAGCTAAAACCTGACACACAGACCTTAATTCAGTTTGTTCTAGGGATCCAGGATCCATTATTGAGTGATGAGAGGGAATTGGAAACACCTTTACCCAAATAACACTTGTTAAAGTACGATGAGTACAAATTACAATGGCTGTTTTGATGAGAATGAAATGACCAACTATTTGCCAACCTCCAATAGTCCCAACAGGCTGCTTCTGTATCAGTGCGAACAAACTGATCATGCCTAAATTGTTTTATCCATTTACTATAATTTAAATACCTGTATTTTTTAAAGTTTAGAAAGTTTATTGTAGTTTTCAAAACATGGACATCCATTAGCGTCTGTTGAGGAGATGAAATGAGATTGATAAAGGTTCTTTTTTTTTTTTTTATAAGTTGTTTTATAAACAAGGAAACTTATTCAGAAAAAGAGCAGAGGACTCTGAATATGCTCAAATCATGTGGCCATACGAGGAGACTCCAAAAAGTTCATGGAAAAATGGAATGGAAACATAATGGAATTTTCCACAAATGTTTTGAAGCCTCCAGTATATGATTAAAGCTGGGACAAGAATCCAGGCTTCTTGTCAGCTCATTACAATAGGAACTAAAATAGTTCTGTTACTGTTCAGCACTGGTGACATAGAATTCAAAATTATCAATAACTGGGAGAATAGACGTTTTAGCTAGAAATTGCTGAAAAGCTACTTAGACAAAAAAGAAGGACTCAAAGATGTTTTTGAGATTTGGGTATTAATTTCAAATTTGAGTTTATATATATATTTTTGAATAATGTCTTTGGATTTAGATCTTTTGGATTACTCTCGAATTTGAGATTATTTTGTTAAATGGCATGATAATTTTTTTTTTCAAGTTTCTTTGCTCCACACAAAAAGCTCTGGTGGCGCTATTAGATGTTGGGCTGCTAACCACTAGGTCAGTGGTTCAAACCCATGGGGAAAAGATGGGGCTGTCTGTGTCTATAAAAACTGAATCTCAGAAACTCGATCTAAGTCACTATGAGTCAGAATCAACTCGATGGCAGTGGTCTTTTTTGCATAATTGTTCCCCAGCCAATTTTCTAAATTTTTTATTTTAGTGTTAACTTCCAATGAACTCCCCACAGTGTAGATAGTACTTAATGCAAGAATATAGTAAAGCACAATCAGGATAGAACCCTTTATCAATGATGCCATGATAACATGAAAATAAAACACCAAGGATCACATAAAATTATGTACAAACAAGAAATTTAGCCAGACAAGAGCAGACAACTAAAGTTTATCCTTAATGCCTGGTCAGCCTCAAGGGTTCTGCAACTCTTGCTGCACTAAAAGCTCAAAAATCAAAACTCAAACTCACTGTCATCCAATCAGTTCCAACTCAGAGTGACCCAGTAAATGATTTCCAAGGCTATAAATCTTTATAGGAGCAGAAAGCCTCATCTTTCTCCCTTGGAATGGCTGGTTTGAACAGTGCCACACCAGGGCTCCTCATTAACACCTGTTGTTAAATGCCATCAAGTCTGTACCAACTCACAGCAACCACAACACTACAAAACGCCGCTGCCTGGTCCTGCATCAACCTCACAGTCGTTGCTATGCTTGAATCCATTTGCTGTTGCCACTGTGCCAATCCTCCTCATTGGGGGTCTTCCTCTTTTTTACTGACCCTCCACTATACCAAGTATTATATCCTCCTCCAGGGACAGGTCCCTCCTGACCTAAGAGCTCTTAATTTCTTCTGAATCACTGGGAGAGCAAGATGGGGAAGAAGAAAAGGAGGAAAGAGAAAAGAAAGTAGGGATAGGAGGAGAGAAAAAAATGAGACTGTTTTTGCTTCTAGGAAGCAAATGCCTTCTGGATGTTAGAGAAGGATAAATACAGGAGAGTTTTTGTGTAAGCCTAAGGATTCATTCCAGTTGGTGAATAGAAATTGAGGCCAAAAATATTTCACTGTAAATGATATATTGCTTTGTTTACTGCAGTAACCCATATGCATAATAAAGGTAACATAAATTAAGGGAGTAAAAAGTTAACCTTAACTCTAATGAGCACATTATCTGTAAAGCACTCTAGGAAGTGATATCAATGAAATATAAACTTGAATTCACTGGTGTGTCAGATCATGGTCTTGTCTATTTGTGCTTTTGACCGTTACACGATGGTTTCATTGTATCTGGAGTCAGGTCAACTATGAAAATGTAAAGGTTACTAGTAACTAATTAATTTGCTTCTAAATTACTGAAACTTACCCCCCAAAACTTGCATTTATAAGAACCATTAAAATGGAGGAGCTGTCACCATTTAAAAAATATAATTTAAAAATTTATTTTTTTAAGAAAATGAAAGGCTCAAGTATGAAAACATATTTTATTTTCTCATTCAGACTCTTATAGTTTATTTTTACAAAATAATGACAAAATTTCATTCTATATTATTACAGAATATGTAATACATATCGAAATATATACATATAGTACTTAAGTTATAAACATACAGCAAACTCAGCATCACATAAACAGCAACCATATTTTTCATAGTTAGAATTTCAACAGGAGATAAACTGTATCTTGAATATGCAAATAGTCTTTGATGTTTTATGTCAACCAGTACCTACAAAAGCTAGTTTGAAAACTACCACCACTTACAAACGTGATAAGCTTTAGGATACAGTTTTGCTCTCATGCCATAATAAAACCTAAAATGATGGAAAGCCAGAGGGAACTAATCTGTTCAGTCAGCTGCAGCAGGTGAAACGACTAAGTTGTGATTTGAAGATATATGCTTTGGAAATTCAAAAGACAGGCTTTTGAATCTTTAGTTCTTGGTTTCTTAATGGTCCAACCATTTCTCAATCTGTATTAAAGTTAGGCCCTCTAATCATCTAATTGTGATAGAGGGAAGTTGCATAGGGACTTTCTTCATCTCTGAAAAAAGAAAACAGAGCATAAATGAATGTTTAGAATCCATATTCAGAAAACTTATATACACACACATACACACACACACATATATATATATGTTTGTTGTTGTTGTTATGTGCCATCGAGTCGGTTCTATATATATATATACTTACTATACAACCAAATATCCAATTGCACATTCCTTGAAAGCTGTATGAAATGCAGATATTACAGAGTATCTTATTGTATTCCATGAAGCAGTACAGATTTTGAAAGAATTAAATATTAGATATTAGAATAAAGAATTATATTCATTTTTATATTTGTTTATATATTCAAATATGTTAGTTAAAATTGTTTTGCTGTTGTTAGTTGCCACCAAGTTGATTCCAATTCATGGTGACCCCAGGTGTGCACACTAGAACCGCTCCTGAAGGTTTTTAAGGCTGTGGGTGACCTTTTGGAAGCAGATCACCAAGCTGTCTTCCGAGGTACTTCTTTTGTTGTTATGTGCCATGGAGTTGGTTCCGATTCATAGCGACCTTATACAGGGTTTCTGAGGCTGTAAACCTTTACGGGAATAGAAAGCCTCATCTTTCTCCCACGGAGCAGCTGGTAGTTTTGAACTGCTGACCTTGTTATTCGCAGCCTGATTCGTAACCACTACGCTACCAGAGCTCCTCAAGGTACTTCTGGGTGGGTTCAAATTGCCAATCTTTCAGCTAGTAGTTGGGTGCTTAACCATTTGCACTACCCAGGGAACCTATACTGTTAAAAAAAAATTATATTTATAAATATATTTTACATTTCACCTCTTTCACAAAAGGATGTGAAGTGCCTACAATAAAGAGCACATATACAATGAGTAAAATAAACATTTAAAAACTAGAACAAAAATTTAAGTCCTCGTGTGGTGCTGTAGGATAAACACTGGACTGCTAACCACAAAGTTAGAGGTTCATACCCACCAACCACTCCTTGGAAACCCTAATACAAAGTGGCTATGAGTCAGAACCGACTTGATAACAGTTAACAACAACAACAAAGAAAGTAGAAGGGAAAAAATATCTGGATTCTAAGAAATATTATAGTAGTTGATCTTGAGCATCAATTTCAGTTACAAGCTTCTCAGTAACCTGGACAAAACTTAAGAAACAGAGGTGGGTGTACCATTCTTGAAATCATACAAGAAATACGGAAACCAATTCTATAGGAAAAAGTTTTGTCTTGATACCAAATTAAAAAACAAACAAACAAACCAATAAGCTCACATAAGATCATGTGTAAGAAACACCATGTAACAAAGTAATGGGCAATGACTTCAACATATTTTTTAAGGATCAGGATTTTACGAGGACAAGGAGGCTTCAAAAAGTTTGTGAAAAATTCTATTATCTTTAAATTCTATTTTCTGTGAACTTCTGAACCTCATATTCTCTAGGGCACTGCTTCACTTGAAAATTACCAACTACATGCCTCTACTTGGCCACTATCTGTAGTCACTAGCTTAACAGTTATGCTATTAAAGCAAAACAACTAATTTTTTTTTATATATATAAAGCATTGTGACCAACAAATCTTATGCAGAATGCAGTAGCTCTGTTTAGACTCCATATGTTATAAACACTTTTCTAGAATTAAAATACAATTTTTAAAGCGAAAAAGAAGACAGATTCAGCCAAGTAAGGGCATTTTTAGATATAATTTATTCTTACCTGCTTTCTTCTTTGAGTTTCTTAGCTGCCTGTGTTGACAATTTAATCTGCAAGTCGAGTCTCTGCAGGAAATCTCGGGCTGACACTTCCTCACACTGCACAGGCTGAACATCACATTCCTGAGGACTAGGAGGACACAGGTCTTCCCTAGCCACTGCTGACTCTTCACATGAAAGACTGCCATCAACAGTTTCATTTTCTGGAGAATCAATGGAGTTAAGTCCATTAAACACCAAAGGCTTTTCTGATATAACTGGGATATTCAAAGTTTTCTTCAGAAATATACAATCATTGGTAAACAGTTTATTTGCTCTTTTTATTTGCTCCATCTAAAATTAAAAAAAAGAAACATCAAGTTACATATAACAAAATCCAAGAGTAAGGTTTATTACATAACACAGGGCTACAGATATTCATGAACAAAATGTATTCAATTCTCGCTCTGAATTTGAGTTCTTAATTCTGGTTTGGTCACATCCCCAAATGCCTGGAGTTGTTTTTTAAAATGTCAGGAAATTTAGTTTTTCGATTTAAAAAACTAACCTATTCCTTCCTCCCTCCACCTCAACCTCACTATATGATGGGGCTTCATAAAGTTCATGGGATAAAAAGATAATGGAATTTTTCTATGAAATTTTTAAGCCAACTTTTATTATTTTTCCTACAAGGTAGCTTCTATCAACAGGTTGTTGTTGTTAAGTGCCGTAGAGTCGGTTCTGACTCACAACAACCCTATATAGGGTTTCTGAGGAGTGGCTGGTGAGTTTGAACTGTTAATCTAATGCACCACACCAGGACTCCTTGATCAACATGTTGTTATTGGTCAGTGCCATCGAGTCAGTACTGATTCATAGCAACCCTGCCCTAAAGTTTAAAAATGTATTATGTTTTAGCACTTATAAATTCCATTCTTACTTAAACATGTCTATTATATGATCTTTTTAAATGATGGCTATTTTACTTAGAATGCTTCTTCTGTATTAGAACTGTGCTTGGGGGCGTTCGTTGGATAGAAGAATGGTGTGGGTTGGAGCTGCAGTCATTAAGGACTCAGAAGGAGGTGGGATTCTTCTTTTTAATCTCTTGGCTTCAGATGGACCTTGAAGAATGGGCAGAAGTGGAACAGGTAAGGAAATGGGGTAAACACTGTGTATGTGTACCCATCCTCTATGTGAATGTGTATATAAATTCTCATTTAGTCCTTAAAACAACTCTGTAAAATGTAGGTATTATCTGATACTCATGAAGAAACAGGTTCAGTAAGATTAAATAACATGCTCGTGTTCAAACAATTTATGCCAGTAGAGCTGGGATTTGAACCAGGTCTGTGTGCTTAATTGTGCACCCAACCCAGTCAACACTAATGGAAGCAACAGTGGAGAAATCAAATGTGCATTGGGCACATCTGCAAAATATGGATTATTTTGTAACCTTTTAAAAGTGTTAAAAAGCAAAGATATCACTTTGAAGATTAAGGTGCACCTAACCAACACGGCACAGGCACATAACAACAACAATAAACCCAAGCCAGGGTATTCTTAATTGCATCCTCATATGCATATGAAAGCTGCATAATGAATAAAGACAGGACAGGGCAACAGTAGAAGAATTGATGAACTTGAATTATTGTGTTGGCAAAAAATACTGATTGTATCGGGGACTGCCAAGACAAGGAACAAATCTGTTTTTGGAAAACTGGAATGTTCCTCAGAAGACAGAATGGCAAGACTTTGTCTCATGTACTCTGGACATGCTATCAGGAGGATATTGTGCTTGGTAGAGGGTCAGTGAAAAACAGGAAGATCCCCAAGGAGATGGACTGACACAGTGGCTTTAACAGTGGCCTCAAACATAACAATAGTGGGGCTGGTACAGGACCGAATAATGCTTTGTTCTGTTTTGCATTTAGTAGTTCTGACTAAGAACCCACTTGATGGCATCAACAATAACATATTTCATTTTCATAAAAGTTCTACAATCTGAGGATTATCATCTCATGTTTCTAAGTGAGGAGATTCAAGAGTGAAGCAGATGTTGGTGAGTGTAGCCAGCCCTGCTGGTTCCAAGCTTGTTGGAGAAATGTCTACTTTCATGTTCATTACACTGCATTAGAAAGTCTTCACCTGACTAGCCTGGAACTTTACAAAATTATCTATTTCATCCTTGGATGATAAGGAAATAAGTGACGGCTTCTCGAGTCAAAGGCTATTGGAATAAGCCAAAAGATTATGTCCTAGTCATCATGCTAGGAACTTTACATGCACCGTAGTATCAAACACTCACAACCATTCCTGTGCAAAAGGAAATCCAGCCAGTTGGGAAGAGCAGATAAGCACACAGACCTGGTTCAATCACCAGCTTCATCAACACAACCTGTTTGGACATGAGCACGGTACTTACTCTCATTGAGCCCATTGCTTCGTAAGTAAAACACATTCTCTACATTTCACTGCAGCACTGTAAGGTTATATGCACATTCACATCAAAAACAGATGTATGTGTATGTATGAAAGAAAGACTACTTAGCAAAGTGCCTGGAAATAGATGGCAGTTGTTGTTGTTAAGTACTGTTGAGTCGGTTCCAACTTATAGCAACCTTGTATAGGGTTTCTGAGGAGCGGCTGGTGAGCTTGAACCGCTGACCTTGTGGTTCAAACAGACCTTGCAGTCCAGCACTTTAACCCCACAGCACCACACCAGGACTCTCTCCACTTTCCAAGGAAAATATTAAGTCACACATGAGTTAATGAATTTGAACAAGGTTATATAGTTTGTTGGAATCCTGGTGTGGTGCTATGGGATAATGCACTGGACCACAAGGTTGGTATGAACTGAAAGGTCAGAGGTTCTAATTCACCAGCTGTTACTCAGAAACAGGGTCACTAGGAGTTGAAATTATGAGGTTAAACAGACTTGATGGCACTTAACAACAACAATATAGCTTCTTAAATGTATAAACTGAGAGCTCTGAGCTGATGTCTGTCATATAACAGATTGTTGTTGTTGTTGTTAGGTGCCGTCGAGTTGGTACTGACTCACAGCGACACTATGCACAACAGAACAAAACACTGACTAGTCCTGGGCTAACCTCACTATTGCTGTCATGCTTGAGCCCATTGATGCACTTTGCCAGTTCATTTCTCTGACCTTCTACCTTAGCAAACATGATATCCCTCTCTCCAGTGACTGGTCCCTCCTAACAATATGTCCAAAATATGAGAGATAAAGTTTTGCCATCCTGACCTCCAAGGAGCACTGTGGCTACACTTCTTCCAGCACAGATCTGTTGGTTCTTTTGGCAGCCCATGGCACTTTCAATATTCTCCTTCAAGACCATAACTCAAATGCATCAATTGTTCTATGGTCTTCCTTATTCATTGTCCAACTTTCACATGCATATGAGGTTACTGAAAATATCATGGCTTGGATCAGGTATACCTTAGTCCTCAAACTGACATCTTCGCTCTTTAACACTTTAAAAAGGTCTTGTGCAACAGATTTGCCTAATGCAATACACGTCGTTTGATTTCTTGGCTGCTGCTTCCATGAGTGTTGATGGTTGATCCAAGAAAAATGAAGTCTTCAACAACTTCAATCTTTTCTCTGTTGATAAGAATTTTGTTTATTGGTCCAGTGGTGAGGATTTTTGTTTTCTTTACACTGAGATGCAATCCAAAGGCTATGCTCTTTGATATTCATCATTAATTATTTTAACCCTTTGTCACTTTCAACAAGCAACCTTGTATCATCTGCATATTACAGGTTGTTAATGAGTCTTCCTCCAATTCTGATGCCATGTTCTTCTTTATATGGTTCAACTTCTTGGATTATTTGCTCAGCATACAGATTGAATAAATATGATGAAAGAATACAAGCCTGGCACACACCTTTCCTAATTTTAAATCATTCAGTGTTCCCTTGTTCTTTTCAAACAGTCTATGTACAGGTTCCTCATAAGCACAATTAAGTGTTCCACAACACTCATTCTCTGCAATGTTGTCCATAGCTTGTCATGATCCACAAAATCAAAAGCCTTTGCACAGTCAATAAAACACAGGTAAACATCTTTCTAATATTCTCTTCTTTCGGCTAAGATCCATCGGACATCAGCAATGATATCCCTCGTTCCACATCCTCATCTGAATCTGGCTAGAACCTCTGGCAGTTTTCAGCCATTGTATGGCTGCAGCCATTTTTGAATTATGTTTAGCAAAATTTTACTTGCATGAGATATTAATGATACTGTTCAATGAATTCCACATTCCATTGGGTCGCCTCTCTTTGGAATGGGCATATATATGGATCTCTTCCAATCAGTCGGCCAGAGTTGTCTTCCAAATTTCTTGGCAGAGATGAGTGAGTGCCTCCTGTGCTGCCTCACTTTCTTGAAAGATTTCAATTTGTATTCCATCAATTCCTGCTGCCTTGTTCTTTGCCAATTCCTTCAATGCACCTTGGACTTCCTCCCTTCAGTATCACTGGCTCTTGATCATATGCTATCTCTTGAAATGGTTGAACATCAACCAATTCTTTTTGGTACAGTGACTCTTTGTATTCTTTCCATCTTCTTTTGATGCTTTTTGCATCATTCAATATTTTGTCCGTAGAATTCTTCAATATTGTAAGTCGAGGATTGAACTTTTTTGTTCATTTCTCTCAGCTTGAGAAATGCTGAGCATGTCCTTCCCTTTTGGTTTCCTAATTCCAGGTCTTTGTACATTTAAAAAATAATATTTGACTTTGTCTTCTCAAACTGCCCTTTGAAATTTTCTATTCAGCTCTTTTACCTCCTCGTTTCTTTCATTTGCTTTAGCATCTCTATGCTACAGAGCAAGTTTCAGAGTCTCTTCTGATATCCATTTTGGTCTTTTCTTTCTTTCTTGTCTTCTTAATGACTTTTTACTTTCTTCTTGTATGATGTTCTTGACGTCACTCCACACTCCTCTGGTCTTTGGACTTTAATGTCTAATGTATCAAATCTGTTCTTAAGACAATCTCTAAAGCCAGGTGGGACATGATCAAGGTCATATTTTGGCTCTCATATATTGGCTTTAATTTTCAG